CTGTGAGCTCCTGGCTTAGGCCACATGCTCCAACCCCCCTCACCTGAGGTCTGCTGCCATGTGTTGCGCAGAAGCCCGAACTGACTCTATAGTGGTACTTGACTTTCCTTTGTCAACCTGTTTTTACTTCTGTAAGAATCTTGTGGGAAGAAGGATCGACTGGCAGACACCTGATTCCCATGCTTATTACTATCATGTCCAGTATGTTAGATTCTGTTATTTCATAGAGCAGAAGCTAAACCTGCAGAATAATGTAAATGGTCTTAATGGCTCCACTCCCAGTTTCTTTCTGGTGATTTGAATGGCTAAATTTACATACATCATTTCCACATGACTGTATCTGTCTGAAAATCCAGATTGATAAATGGCATTTCTTTACAGGGGACTTCCTCTCTTTGTTCTTCAAGAACTTTTGTTCTCCGGGAAGTCCTTAGGCCTGTGGCAGGTATTTTCATTGCCTTTACTCATCTTCACACCAATTGCTCATATATTGCAAAGATACATTAAGAATTTGTGACCTTTGAGCTTTCTGGGAAAGTTCTATATAAGCATTCTATTGGGTAGTTGGAAAAGTCATGACACATTTTTCCGACGAAAAATATGGAAAAAAATACATCATGACTTTTCCGACAACCCATTAGCTGTCCTTTAGTTTTAGGATATGCAGAATATATAATTGTGAAGATAGCTACTTTTGTTTATTGTTAGAAATTTGAAATAGGCAGCAATGTCGTCCTCTTCCCCAACTCCTTACCCCTTTGAAGACTTTCACAAAAGTGTACAAATTGTAGTATAAAAGGGAATGTCGTCAAACAAAGCCAATTTAAATATTAGATTTTAATTGTATTGAAATTGAAGAACTATCCTCTTTAACCCTAGGTGTCCTATAGTTGGGGAGTTGGTTACAAGACTATAGCCATTTCTGCTTTTTGTGCTGTGATCTTCCTTCAACTCACATACAGGAGAAGCCCTTTTGTCACCTCAGTCACTGATTATGTGTAAAGCAAAGTTGGAAAATAGACTTCTCTAAAAGACTGAAAATGAATCAGAAGCAAAAAGTACTGATTTTGACCATATTTTTATTAAATGTGAAAATACACGGGCATAAAAATAGTACCCATATTTGTAGATATGTCTGAGACCCATTTCAATTTATTTTCAGTTTTTTTATTAAAACACTAAATTGAGATGGACTAGGGTACTTAGTCTTGTCTCATTCAAAGCCAGCTGTAGCTTTACAGTATGAGTAATATTTTCACTTCTCAACATCTCTGCTTTTTACCTTCTCTGCACTCTGCTCTCCACTGCAGGTAAGAGGTTCAACCATGGAGGAGTGCAACAAAACCTGTTATTATACACAAAGCCACGCAGTGGCTAATTTCACTCTCAAATCATTCAGCAAATGAGATCACCTATTAAAAAAAATTATTCCCACCTGTTAACATCATTTGTATTTACAGAGTAAACTCTGCTACTAAAAGGAATGATCTGATTTGGAATAAGGATATTATTTGTTGACAAATTAACATTTGCCTTCTTCCTTTATAAATATGGAAAAGTAAATTACATTCAACAAAGTTGCATGAATTTCTCTAGGTGATACCACTAATGTGTACTCAATGAAAACTTTTTGCAAGGCCTGTCACCAGTGCCCTGTACCTTTAAGGCAGTTGGCTCTACCAGCCACCTGGGCTGAGGAACCATTTTTAACTTAAGCATCTTAGGCATCTTTTTCATGATAAATCTCACATACAATTTCTGACCAATTCCATACATTTAAAGGTGAAATCTTAAATTTTCCACCATGAATAGAAAATGGTGCCAATTTCAAATTGTGGTTCTGTTAACTATTTTTTTCCTACTGGGTTATCAGTAGTATTTTTCTCTTAAAAAATCTGTGGGTAGTTTTTACATTCCATTATCAGAGTCCCCAAAAGTTCTGTTTCCATACTGATAAAATAAACTTTTAATACTGACTAGATACTTTAAAATTAGTATTATGTTACATCCAATTCACATCAGTAAATTATTGAAGTTTTCATTTATTCATGGTAAGAAAGCACAAACTTTCAGAAGTGAGCAATAAATTAATTTATTCTTTTTAGAACTTTTTCACATTTATAAGCTGACGTGTTTAATACTTGCTGCTGTGGAAAATATCCACAATGTACAAACCAGCGACACTTCTCTTCTAGAGCTCACCAAAAAGGAAAGGAGGAGTTTAAGACGGGAATATAAGACAGGTAAGGCGGAGTGCCCTGATTCTACCTTTCCAGAAAGAGCCATAAAGGTTACTGGGCATGTGCAGTCTGCAAAAGGAGAGACTAGCGAGTGGTGAGTGACAGTAGCCTGAACACAAGGCCAGGGCCTTCTCGGTCATCTGCATCCATCAGGCTGTCAAGAGGATCAACTATCCCTTTACACACGTTTTTTTTCTCTCTTTAAAGGAAACTTGAAGAACCAACAACTTCCCATGCTGATGCCCATCAAGGCTGGAACTGAAAGGTCGTTGTTTTCTTCTTTAATCAGCAAAACAACAAATTCCAGAGAATTAATTTCGCTCAGTGGCGTTGGCACTTGGCATCGTAGCTTTTACTCTATCTTCACTGAAAACAGGCAAGTAACTCTGTACATCTGTTACGATGACTTACTTAAATCCACAGTAAGACTTTACAAACAGGAACCGTTACAAGTGGAGGAAAGAGGAAAGGTAATGCAAACAGCAGGTTGGCAGCAGCGACGGTGCCCGGGACACGGCTCCCACGCAGCCAGCCCCCAACCCTCCTGACTCCCTCTGGCTCCATGTTATGGGCACTTTTCATCCTCTCCCCTGAATGGAAGGGCAAGTGAGTTGGTTTCCTTTGTTCTGACTGTGTGTGAAAAGTCCTCATTTTGAAAGTAGTCTACGTAGAGGCCATTGTTAGATTTCAAAGAGGTCACAGTGACATCACATACAAAAGAACCAGATTGAAAAAAAAAAGCATTTCTTATATAAGTAATGAGATTACTGAGATTAAATAAAAATGAATTTTCCTTAGAAATCATTGTCCCACTGGCTTGAATTTGGAGACATTAAAGTAAAATGAAAGCTGCAAGCTGTTCACTAGTTTTCAAAATGCATTAAGTTTATTGGTAAGAAATAGACTTCTAAATAGATGCAAAAAGCACTTATGTGTTTTACCAACTAAACTATGTGATTTTTGTCTCTCAGTTTAAAAAAAAATTTTTCCACATATGTTTCAGGATGACTGTAGAAGAAAATGATTTGTGCTTGGCTGTTGTGGATATTACTGGTAAGGATGCCACCCACAACTAAAATTAAAATGCTTGATTTCATAAAAACAATATATTAGACCCATACTGCTTAAAATGCTTCAAAATGCTCTGAGGCAAACACAAAAACCTTTCTAGAATAAAGGTAATAATTCTTATCTAAAGTAATTCTCTTAGATTTTGTATGCAGCATCAATAGTTCCATAAATATTTAATGTTCTTGATTAAAGTAACACTCATTTTTTTAAGGAAAAAATTATCGAATATACAAAGATTGAATGGTTCATTTCTTAAAGGGTAAGAAGGTATCCAAAGAAGAGTTGCCATGGTGATAGTGGAAATATAGCCAGAGCTGTAATTTGTAAACCTGTGTTTTTTCCTAGGCAGGAGAACATCTAGAGGCATCAAGGTCTGGTGAAGGGACAGGTCTGCTGTTTAGTGGCCATCTTCAACAGGTCCCACCTGGGGGTCACTGTGGCCCCAGAGGGTCAGCCAAGGAGGTAAGAAAAGCGGTGCCACTGTACCTACTAATAGTGGGAAAGGGTATCCTATTTATGTTGACTGAGTAACTTTACATTTCTAAGCCAATCCTGTTACAGGAAATTCTGTTTAACTCACAACTTCAATTGTTAAAGTAGTTCACGCTACACTTCAGCAATACTATTTTAAATAATGCCACTGCTGTATTAGCTGAACCTATTTTATACATAACTTATCTTTGAAGTTAACGTGTTAGTTTCATATTAAACAAAAAGGGCCCAGAGGTTTTACAATTAATGCTATTTCAGTGGTTTTCAGTATTCTCTTGCAGGCACTGAACAAAAAAAATAATAATAATACAAAGTATATGCTTATCATCAATCCAAAGTGTAAACCTGGCTATACCAACTCCCATTTCATAGTAGGTTCTCTAAAAGATGGGCTCTGCCCCCCTTCAGTGACGGCCATGTTCATGCTAGTAGGGAGATGGAAATGCACGTGGTTCTGTAATTTAACAAATATTTGCAAGTGACTGGACTGACCAGAAGCTAAGCAAAGTTGTCCCTAAGAACATATAGCTCAAAATGTTAATATTCTCATTAAGAATACTGAAATACTGAAATACCCAATCTCATAAAGTTTTTACAGCTCCTCCTTATACATGTAGGCACTGACATACTGTGCAAGGCTGTGAAGAAAATAATGTCTACATGTTCCAGTGTAGAAAAACATAAAATAGGTGAGCACTTCCATAGGTGAGCTTGCCTCAGACCACTTCCAGACAATCACAACACAGACACAGGCTGTTTGGTCAGAAACAGAACCATTCCTCGCCTCCCTGCCCTCACAAACCCATCAGCCTCAAGTCTAAAATGGTAAGAACAAATTTTTCCTATAAAACAACTCTTTGGTCATGGACAAACTGAAAGATTTGAAATTCCCATTAGGATCCTGGAACAAGGTTTCTTTGTTTTTAATCTTTAAAAAAATTAAGGAAGAACAAATAAAAGCTAGTTTAATTGAAGTGGAATTTAAATCTAAAAGGTCCTCCTGAGCTGAAAGGATTGAACCCTTGCCATGAGTTCCAGCTTCTGTGGAAAGGGCTGCCGCCACCACCTTGTTGGCTCTCTGCATCCAGCGGATCTTCTCCGTCATCAAACTTCTTCCTCATTTCTGTAAGAGAAACCAGCAAAGTCAGACCCAGCTAATACTAAGGTGTGGGGGTGGGGTCAGGGACGCTACTCGCAGTTACCTCAGCAGTTGTGCCTGATACTCAAATCTAGGCTCTCTCATTCCCATCCGAATAACACACTAGAGACACCCCAGTCACAGAGAAGCGGGTGAGGACCAGGGTGGAAAAGGGTGGTGACTGAAATTCAGGCCCCCTAAATCTTCTCTCCTCACAAGAAACTACACACAGAAATACTTCTCTAGAAAAAATGAATAACTGCAGAGAAAGAGACCTCCAAAAGTCATACCTTTCTGATCGCCCCGTGTTACCAATCTTAGCCCAACAATGAAGTCAGCCTGGCACAACCCCAGCAACCCAGCAGGCTTCCTAATGCTTCACTATTAAAACTAACAGAGCTAAGGTTCCTCAGACTGAGGGGAGGAGACCACCTCCACTGCTGAGGAAATCCCTGGTGAGAGGCAGACCAATGCAGACACATGGGAGACAGGACACCACAGGTGGCAGAAGAGCAAGCTAATATCCTCAGAGGTGAGAATAAGCCATTTCATCCTTAAAATAAGAATGGGGCAAAGAAAAAGGAACAAAAAAGAACTCTTAGTAATGAAAAATGCAGTTCTTTTCTCAATGCATGCCTTTGTGACTGTTGGCCTCAACTTCCCTGGTTAGCTTCCTGCTACCCTTAGAGCTCAGCGCCACATCCCTCCCGGAAGAAGATTCCCGACTCCCTATCTAATGTAGCTGCCGCACCTGTGCACTGTACAAGCTGAGCGGGCAGAACCATTCAGGGGACTTCGTGGACAAACAGCATGTATCCTACTTACCCTACTCATTAAGTACACTTGTGTCTCCCTTACTGGATTAGAAATTATTTGAGAACAAAGGACTGTTTAACTTCAATTCCATAGCATAGTAGATGTCCAAGAAAGATTTGTCAGATGGGCACAAAACATGATTTGCTTCTATTTTTTTTTTTTTGGTTTTGTCTAGCTCAAGTCATAGCTTCTGCACCCACTAATGTGGAAAGCCACAAAAAGCAGTAGGAATTAGCTGAACATGAAATTCCCCCTGGAATTGTCAATGTATTGTTCAATATTACCTAAATTCTTAGCTGCCTCACCCTTGTTGTCCAGGCCATTTTAGCATATGACAAATCTAATGGACACGTGATTTAGGGCACGATTCCTGGGGCGCACACGCCGGGACAGGCAGCCCCCAGGCTACACACATGCCCCTCTCCCACCACCGCACGTTCCAGCCTGGTCTCTGCTTTCCTAGTTAAGCCCCTGTATGTCCAGTGTAAGGAATTCATCACTGATCTGTGGGGTTAGAAGGAACCTGAGAGATCCCCCTCACTGTTGTGCCTTCATATTACAGGTGAAAAGAACAGAGGCCCAAGAAGTTTTAGTAACTTTTTTCAAGTAGAGATAAGAGTCAAACTCAGGCCTATTGATTCCACATGTGTTGGTCTTCCCACTGTGCTGCGAATGCGTGAGGGTCCTTGACCCTGACCTGGCGGTGTACATATGAAACTGGGCTTCGGAAGCTGCAAGGCCGGGACCAGCCACCAGCCCCCAAAGTGCGCCCCAGAGCTGCCTGCTGTCCAATCTGGCGCTGCTTCTGAGATGGGCAAAGGAAGAGGCCGAGGTAGTCTCTGGTCACCGATTCAGCCATTTTAAAAGTAGAAAACATTCAAGTCAAGTGATACCTGGATCAGAGAGGACTTCTTTAGCAGCTGCTATATCAATGAATTTTTTCTCAGCTTTCTTCTTTTCTTCTTCATTCTGGAAGTTATCTGGGTGCCACTGTAGTGCTAATTTTCTATATGCTTTAATGATTTCTTGCTTTTTGGCATTTCTGAGGGGCATTAAAATTGATTAATAATAATTAGTTAAGAGTTACCCAACACACTGCCAGAAAAAAATGAGAGAGACAGCAAAGATCCCACTGGCAGCCTGGCGGCCTGGCTTTCCCAGTAATACCAATGGTGTCCCAGGCTGAACATCTGATCTACAGCCCTGGGTGATCATTAAAGCTGGTCAGGCTTCCTTGTATACTCATTCACTAAGATTAGAATCTCACTGGGAATAAATTAAAGTACTCCTGATCTTTACAGTTTTTCCTTTAAAAAAAAAATCACAAACTTTCTGAATTTCCATGCTACCATGATTTACTTCTTGGTATTAAGAGAGATACTTGGACTCTTTGAGCCCACACTTTCTATTTTGCTTCTGGATTAGCTTACAATTAAAAGGTCAATGTCTGTTCAGGGAAGGTGGGTCTTATATGAAAGCACATGTATATCTCTTAGTACCTGCAAGGTGATTCTAACAGAGCCACTTTATTTTAGGCGTAGAGAAATGTTGTTTTCCCCATCTCCTCTCTCCCTCCCATCCCCACCAAAAGAAAGCTCACTCCGACCTCTTTACCCTTAAGAAATCTAGGCCTAGGACCTGTTCATGCTATAGTACATATCTTTGTCACCAACTACTACTTCTCCATTGTTGCATTTCTAGTCTCTAGCAAAATTGTAACATAAAGCTATCAAAATAGCTTTATGATAAAACTGTTAGAGCTTATTCTATGACTGAAATTACATAAGGAAAGAAAATGAATCCAAGAGAGAAAAATGATAAAGCAATGATTAGCTTTAAAACAGTTGGTTAAAAGTAACAATGCAAATTTTAAATAATTCACCTTTTTACTCCCAAGATTTTATAATAATCTCGTTTCTGCGACTGTTTCAATAGTCTCTGTGCTTTCTCTAGACCTTCCCGAATCTGCTGATCGTTTTCATTGTGTTCCTGAGCAGTTTCATAATCCTGAATAGCTGTCAAAATACATTGAAGATAATGCTGTTAAGAGGGATTGTAACTTGTAACCTTTACTTATCCTGTAAAATTGACACTGAAGTCACCATCCACAGCCCCTTCACTCTTTTGCCATTACTGCTATGAGCCTAAGTGAGACCACCTTTGTAATTTTGTGCACAAACTGACAAAAGCATAAATAAGGATGAATTTAGTAGCTTATTACTCCCGGTCAGTAAAATTCACCCTGCCACATTAATTCACACCTTTCAGGTGTTTCAATATCAACACTTCATACAAAGCAATCTTACTGTCAGTAAGATTAAAATGATTGTTACACAGGAAAATAATGGCGAAGAAAATTGGCATGGTCAGCGACAAGGTCCACAGCACAGAGGAATTAGAGGCTTCGAACAGGAGCAATCAGCAATCAGAACCACTAAGTCACCCACAGATTTCAACATAGACTATTACAACCTGATTTTTAGGTATCAATCAAAACAGAAAACCACACATAGTCCTCGTATGGGAAGTCTGATAACAATCCATATTGTATCTTTTATTTAAAATACTTAGAAAATATAAAGCATCTGGCTCGCTAATGTCACACAGGAAAGAGTGAGTGCAGCAGGCCTGGGACTGTCTCCTTTAGAAAGATCTGCTGACAAGATGGAGGTCAGGAGTGTCCCCAACATTCCCTGGTAAGAAGGGCTCCCTGTGCCGAAACTGGACAAATAACATAGTTTATGTTAATAAACTATGTTATTTCCTTCTGGAAGTCTGGAACTTTGGTATGAACTAGGCAGAAGGACCCTACGTCACCAGTGCCCAAAAGCAACACTGGGCACTAGGCCTCTAACAAGCTTCCGCACTAGACAACACTGCCCACATATTGAAGAATTAGCTTGTGTTGTATGGTTTCCTCTAAACTTTGCCCCATGAGCCTTTGCCTTCTGTTGATCTGACTTTGTGTCTTTTCTGGAATAAATCTAAGCCCTGAGTACAACTATATGCTGAGTCCCATCCACCAACATAAATTTTTCTCAATGTCCTCCCCAGACAGCCATCTCAAATAATGGATTGTTGGGTTCAAATTCTAGTTTTTATGGAAATGCATTTCATTATGGGAAAAGACACCTCTGAACATTCATCTTGGCAATGCTAATCCTGAAAAGGGTTTATAGGAAGGCACCTTGGACAGACTAAAATGAGAAAGGTATTGGGATAAGATCAACACATCCAGTTGGCCCTACTATATAGAAAAGTGAATCAACACTACCATTGGCCCATGGGGGGGGGGGCGACTCTAAGCTTTTATCCTAATTCCTGCCTCAATGCATCAATACTAAATATTACTGTCACCCAACCCACAGTGACATCATAAAATACCTTTGCAACTTAGTACACAAACCCATCATAAATAGTAGTGAGGTTTAACCTTGTAATTAATACCCACGGCACTTGATATCACAGCCTAGTAAGGAAATGTATTTTGAAGGAATTTAATCCGAGGGAAAAATGTTTCAATGTACGTAATTTTGCTACTTATGCAAACTCTACATTCAAAACATGTTTTAAACATTCAGAGAATCTCCCACAAAGCTGTCTTCTATATCCTATATTAAAACTTACGGTAGATACATTTTTTTCCATATAGAAAAAATACAAAATTATAGGTTTCCTAAATTCACAGGTAATTAGAAACTCAATATGGATAATATAAGACTTCCCATGGACAGAAACTACATAGCTAACTTTTAATTGTATTTCAGATTCTACTCTCCAAGGGGGAATCTTCAAAATAAAAAGTAAATGACACCCAATTGTTTATCGCTTACCATACTGAGCAGCTGTGAAAAGTAGAATAAGCCAGAAATATTAAGGCCCTGAGTGAACAGTGTATTTCATATTATCCAATTCACTTTATAATCTCTGAGTCCAAAACATTTCTCCTTCCCAAATTTTTTCTTCCATATTCCCCTCACTCAATTCTTAAGGAACAAACAACCAGATCAAGAAGGCAGCCTTGATGGCAAACAGGAGTTTGCCTGCCCTCCACCCCATTATCCCACTAAAATGACAAAAATATAACCACGGCAGCACTGAGCACAGCAGACAAAAATTTTGGTTAAGTTTCTGGAACAGAATGTAAATGGGATATTAATAATGAATAAACCTAAGTAGAAAGGGCCACAATCCAAATATACATTGAAAGAGGCCCTCGCAGATTTGGAAGCCATTCTTGTTGGCCAAGGATCCTCAGTTTAGCAACCAGAAGTAGCTTTAAGGCACCCAGCAGGATAGTTTGTGAGATGACTGAAGAATGGCTGGATAGGCGCTCTCCTCGCCTGTGGAGCAGCTACGGCATCAACCCCACTGGGGACCCAGAACCAGCCTGTAAGCAGAATGAAAGATGTGCATCTGGCGGGCCCCCATACAGCTTCGGGGACCAGGAGGAAATGCAGAACTGGGCCTGCAGGCACTCAAGACCTCTACAATAGACCTGGAACAAACAAAGTTCCATCCAGAATCTACATACACCAAAGGGCTCCACCTGAGAAGTAACAGTACAATAAGTAAAGCCCTGCTCATTTTGGCAACTGGGCAAGATGGCAAGTGCTATAGGGGAAGTCTTCCTGTGAACGGGTCCTACACACTTGAAGTCTGCAGTGAGCTCCCCAATACAGAGAAGCGTTTACATGACAAATACGTACAGTTGCAAATGACTGCCCTCTTCTCATGCCACCAATCATTAGCAAATCCTAAATCAGATTCCTTTCAACAGAATTTAACTACTTCTCATTTCCACAATTACCCTTGTGATGCAGTCCATAATTAATACACCTGAATAGCTGTAATACTTTTATAACAACTCTTCCCAGCTTCCAAGCTATTCCCCTAAAAGTCTATCCTTGTACAATACAAAGACCTTAGAGAGCCTTTTAAATAGTACATCAAACCTCCAAGATAAATATGCCCAAGAAACACCCAATTTTCTCGTCCTGGATGTCATACAAAAACAAGGTAAATAGGGGCAGGGAAGCTCCATTTTCATGAAAACAATTCAAAGAAACTGTACAGGGGCTGCTAAAATTAGCCAATATCAGCCATGGATCCAAAATGAGAGGGTGAAGCAAATACCAATGGCAAGAGATCACAGAAAATGTCGACAACATACATTTTCCAGGAGTGTGGGCTCCTGTGTCTTTTGCATATTACAAGAGCCGTGAAATCGAGGGCAGACATAGTGGAGGTAAAGCAGAGACCTTACTAGAGAGAAGACAAGGAAAGAAGGACTACAATGAGCAAGAATGACAGATAGCCCTGGGTAGCACATCTCAGGAAACTCAGCAACCATGTGCTCTCTGAAGGTGAGGGGCTCACCCTGAATTGCAAAAGATATACCCCTTTGGTGTAGCAAAGGAAGTGGGCAGAGGGACAGCAGGGCTGGCAGCAGACGACCTCCTGGACACGGTTTGGTTCAGAGAAGCAGAGGGCAGGGCTATACAGAAAGGCCATTTTAGCAGGAAGCAGAATGTCTGTGGAAACAGTGAAGCAGAGAGCATTGCAAGTGTTAAGTAGAGAAGACTGCCCTGTCCCCAGCACCCCTTTACACACCCCCAAAGGACTTTCCCACACGTGGCTAGGAAAGGGTAATTCAAGTCATTTCGTGATGAGTAACATTTTTTATGGTACAGCATTGATTCAAAGATACTAAATTTTAAATTAAAACAGGAAAAGAGCACCAAAACTTACCTGATGAACATGCATCAGAAGAATAATAGCCAAAGAATACATGAAAATTCTGAGCAAACAGCATGGCAATGAATAGTCAAAACTTAATTCAATCACCTCTATTAAGACTAATCACAGGGCCAATCACAGGGCCGGCCGAGTGGCACGGTGGTTAAGAGCTGGCTTGGGACGCCACAGGGCCCCGGTTCGGATCCCACATATGAGGGCCAGTGACACTGCCCTCCACAGCTAAGATGCTGAACAACAGCTCAACCTGGAGCTGGGCTGCTGTGAGTCGCCGGCAACAGCGTAGGCTGCAGCCCCTGCTGCAGTGGGTTGCCATGGGCTACCATTTGTGGCCAGCAGCCAGCGTGAGCAGCCAGCAGCCGCCGTGAGCGGTCAACAGCCGCCGTGAGCAGCCGTCCAGAAGCTAGCGACTGATCTGCCTCGCCCAGGAAAAGCGCAATGATGGTGCCAACTTAGGCCAGTGAAGCAACGTCCTCCACAACTAGACTGAAGAACAAAAACGACAGCAACTTGTCTGTTCCCCTTCCCCCAATTCCCCAATAAAAATCTTAAAAAAAAAAAAAGACTAATCACAAAGCAGAATAAGAACTCAGCAAAGAGATAGTAAGACGAGGAGATAAAAATGTGAGTAGTCAAAACTCAAGAAAAATAAGGACAAAAAGCTATCACAGAAGCGAAGATGAAATGAAGGAGCACAAAGGAGAAGTATATGGGGAAAAAAATAAGGACCCAACAAAATGAAATGAAAATAGAAAGTTTAGAAAGACTAGGGAAAAAATTATAGCTATAGATGTCAAGCAAAGAGAATACAACCTATATATAATTGGACCTCTGAAGCAGAAAATTAAAACAACAGAACAAAACAGATTAAATTTAAGAAAAATTTCCTAAAATAAAAGATAAATCTATTCAAAGGGCACACTAGATACCAGGGCAAAATACATGAGAATGATCAACATAACGATATATCCTAGTATAATTAACAACTTGAAAGATAAGGGCTGTCTGGATGGCCAGAAAAAAAACAAAACCTGGCCCCAGATTTTCCATAGCAATATTCAGTGCCTGAAAATAATGGAACAGTAACTACAAAATATACAGAAAATTTATGAACAAAGGATTTTATTATCTAGCCAAGCCATCCTTCCAGTATGAAAGGTACAAACAGCTTTGAACATAGAAATCAGGAAAAACTTTTCCCAGAAGCTCCTCGAGGAAACTACAATAGGATGAACTCACCAAGAGAAGGCTAGAGAAA